CTAGTAAAATACAGAACTAAGCCCCAAACCCTAAAAAAAAAAGAATTCCCCAAACAAGAAAAAATGAATTCCCAAAACACTTCCTGGCCCATTTTCAGAGAATATGAGAACGATTCAGAAACCAAGAAGCATGGTTGTTGAGTGGTGACACAGCTTTCATATCCAGGCACGTCTGACACTCCACAGTCGTCACTTCTTCCTGGGCGGTACAAGCTGCAAACGTGAAAGCTTACAGTAGTCAGATAGGGATATCGCTGTCCTAGAGGTGAGGCGATGGCCGATCGAGTGCAGAACCAGAGGACAGCTCTCAGTTGGCATCAGCTTCCAAACCCATTCCGGTAATGCTAGGAGAAGTCCCGTGGTTCCTCCTGTGCGGATCAGCAATGAGTCTGCGTTGGTCCGACCTCCGGCAGATGAAGAGGGGGCGTCCCACAGCCGGATTTGAGCATGTTCAGTTCGTTTCTTTTGCTTTTTCTGATCTGGAGGTTTACAGCATTTTACAGCTGTGAGCCCAGGCACATCTTCAACCCCGCAAGGTATGTTCGGTCGGCCTACGACAGGTACAGAGTTTAGCAAAGGAAAGCTCCTGCCGTGTGTGAAATTGAAAGCTTTTCCGGCTTTGCTCAGACGTCAGCAGGCTGGAACCTCCGAAACCGATACATCTTCAACACCCTCAAGATGCTGCTTTCGGGGTTCATGCTCCTCAGTCAGGTGGGCACAGCTGGGCTCAGAGTAGATGTGGCTTTAGTGCGAGAGGCCACGTCACTCCGGTGTCGCCGATGTTCCACAGCATGCCATGGACTGGTAACCTGGACTACCCGCGGATTCTGACGGCCGCGCGCTCCAATCAGGAAGTGAGGACCGCGGGAGCTGAAGCGGAGCGGGAGCTGCTGCCTAGCAGGGCCTAGGGGGGCCTGGCACAAAGGGAAGCCCAAAGCCCAAAGCTGCAAAAATCAACGAAAGGATGTCGGCCGCGGCTGCAAAGTCGGCCCGGGTGATTTCGCCCCCACTCTCTGCACGCGTCAACGGCCCCATGGGGCCATTGGTGCTCCCTGCAGCACAAGTCGTGGTTTGCGAAGGTATTCATTTTTGAAGCTCGGCCACCACAACGACATAGGGCTCACGCTCGTCCCTTTCATGAGAGCAAAAAGTTTTGTCTCGGGAGAGCTGAGGAACCTGAGCACGACTGAGAAAGGCTGTCGCAGCTTGTACTCTAAGGCTCAGAGGGTGGTTTGCAGTACCAGGTCGCTGTGCAGAGCGAAACCGATTCAACACCAGCGGCGACCGGAAAATGGGTTGTTGCCACCACCACGCTCGCGTGCATCTGGTGCGAGCCAAACGTTTGCTGCCGCCCATCTTCCAGGGGTGCTGGAATTCAGTCAATGCTCCAAGAAATGCGCTGCATGTGTGCGCAATTCGCCCGCATGTGTCTGCGCTTTAATATTCCTGCGTGTAGACTGACTAGACTGAGAGCTTGGATCTTTACCCTTAAACCGTACACGTTCGTGTGGAAAGTCTCAGTCTACCCCACCCGTGGCCAGCTCTCACACAATATGTGTGTTGGAGCGCTAAAGAGATGTGAGTCGTGCCGGTTGATCTCCGTTCTGTCATGCCCACAGTCACAAGCACGGCAATGGTCCCGTCGGCTTCGCAGGTTTCAGCTCAAAGTGTCTAGCTGAAGGTTCCCGTTCCCGATGGTGCCGCTCACTCGCCGTAGGCGAGTGAAGGCCAGTGTGCTTCGAATGGGAGCCTTTGTTGCACTTCGACTGGCCTTGTGAGGCGCTGGTCGCACTAAATGCCTGTACGATCCCGCCGGCTACTCACGTACTCACGTCGTCTGTGCGGCCCTGAGGCTCTCCGCAGACTCAGGTGCAACTTCGTTTTTGGCAAGTTGCCAGAGAGGGATCGAGAAAGGAGCTCCAAGGCGGGCACCGAGGGTCAGCGGGAGCCGAGCTTGGAACTCCCTTTTTGAGTGCGGAGGCTTTTGCCGAAGCCGCCGCCGCCGGCACCACCACTGCCGGCGCCGCTGCCGGGCCTGGAGCTTTCAACGTGACTCCCTGGTGCGGCTCCCGGCGCCTCTTCCGCCTCTTCCGCCGCATCTTCCGCGCCTTTCGGGGCCTTAAGTCGCTTTTTGGCGAACAGCCCTGCGCAGGGCTGGGATCACTGCGATCTCAGCAGGCCAGGCCGGGTTTCGGGGCACTCAAAGGTTCTTAGAGGCATCCAGCAGGGTAGTCAGACCGTAGTGAGCAGAAAAAGGACTGCACATCCTGAAGCAATCACGTCACGAAAGAGTGTGAGGACAACCGCATCGAAATTGAGCACCAGGCAATAAGTCAGAACCTCTCGAGAAAAGGTTTAATGCTCTGGTCCAGCTCAAGGATGTGTGTCTTCGTCCAGTGAAATTGGGAGGTTCACGTATCGAGAGGCCCGGATAACTGCTGCGTGTTCTGGTGCCGTGCTGTTTCGTGAAGCTTCGGGCTTAGAGGCCGGTGGACTCAGCCGGAAGAGTACAGAGGAGTAAAGTGAAAAAGTGATGAGAACCGAGGAAGCAGGAGAAGACGGTGAAAACCTTCGAGAAAATCAACGACGAGCGAGATTAATCTGAGTTTTCTGTTTGTTGAACCCTTGCTACATTCCGATTCTGCACCTGCCCACTTTTCAGTCGGACTCACTTGTTCTGGGACAGGGACAAGGCGAAGATTCACATTCGTAGTGGGTTTTCGGCTTGTTCTGCGACGTTCTTTCGGATGTTTCATCAGGTAGGTTCAGGAACTCGCTGCCCTGCATTCCAAGACCTAGGGTCACGGGTGTGGCTTTAGGGTTGTTGGGGCTCTAGGTTGAGCTCATCCCGACAATGCAGGGCTTCTGAGCGAACTCCGACAGCCTCACAGCACATCTTTTCGCATGGCAGGCGCCTTGGCCTTCTCCGTGCTGAGAAGAGACCGCGACTGGCGCCGTTCCCTCGCCTCCTCGAGCTCTGCCCGCAAGACCGCGGAGGCGAACGAAGGCCCACACGCTCCACAGGCATCAAGAGCTCGAGCTTTCTCGAGCTCTTCGAGGCTTTTTGAGTTCTAAGAGCAACGAAATCAGGCCTCCAGGGCGACGGTCTCGATCTGCGATTCCAGAAGACCCGCCTCGCTACTTGCACTGAAGCGAGCTGTGCAGTGCTGCTGTGCCTGTGCAACCGCAACCTCTTCATGTGACGGGGTGAGAGGTCTCAGGCAGCAGGCAGCGTTGCGCGCGCAGGCAAGAGAGAGAGAGAGAGAGAGAGAGAGAGAGGCACAAAACGGCATAATGGGGGCTGCCGAAAGGAGGCTCTGTTAAACTCGAAGTCTGAAGAGGGAGTCGCCGGCACCTCGGCCCACACAAGTCTCTGGTTGACGGTGCTTACTTATAGGTATGTGGCTTTGTCACGTGATTCGAGACGGGCACAGGGATGTCCAAGCTTTGAGGCTGTTTTAGAGGGTCGCACAACAGTTTAGGACAACAGGACCTCGTGGGGGGAAGGGAGGTGTCAAACCGCACCCGGGAGAAGAATGGGAGAGAGAAGCAGAGACAGAAAGGAAAGAGGGACGATATTGCAGCGGTTCCAGCGCTGCGGATGCGAAGGTCACCTTTGCTGGCATGGTGCCTTGGTGTTGTCAGTGTTTGTCTCCACTGCAGAGTGGCGGTGGCATTCGTATTCTAGGACGGGCTGCGCTCCGAGCTGCGTTTTATGATACCTGATTTGATTGAGGTATTAGGCTATGCTGTCTACTACTTCACTCGCTTGTCTTTCACATATGTGGGTGGCCACCCCAGGACTTGCTCTTTCAAGGTTCGCTGGGGTCACGGTGCAGTGTCGAGTGTGCGTGCTAGGTCTTGCAATGCGGAAGGACCTTGGCCTTAGCATGGTGCAGCAAGGAACTCAGCAGGGGGATCTGGGAATCCACGTGGCACCCAAGAGACTTACCATGCTTACAACCTCTGATCTTGACTGTGCAGCTTTGATGCGCAAGGTTGGGCACGATCAGCTCTTTGTTCCCACTGGCAGTCCTGGCTATGTATTGTAACACAGCAGTGCTGCATCCCACTTTCTCTACGCCTTTCCGCCTATCTGCCCCTCCCTCCCTCCCTCCCTCCCT